TAAGAAGATTGTTCACCATAAAATATCGCTTATCCTGCTCGTCGCTGTATGCTTAGTTCAAAACTGAATTCTTCTAGGTTGTACTCCCTGGACGAATTCTTTTACAAGGCGCTTTCCTGCAACTACAATTAATAAACAAATCTCACAAGTTCGTCATTACGTCAAATGTCCAAGCATTTTCTCCCTTCTGTCCTGTATTGTATTCAAAAGATTTCTTTAACCCTTTCAAGAGCAAGAACATTAATTTATAGCTCCGATTTCATAGACACCCTACACTTGCGTCGACACCTGCAGTTTAAATTATGAAAAAGCCTATTAAGAATTACAATCATCTGCATCGTTTGAATACATAAGAAGTTATTTTGCAGTTTTCTCGACTTAAAAACCGTATATTGTAAATTATCTAATACCTAAGTAGCACGCCATAGTATAATTATGAAATCTAGCTATATAGATTTCTACATTATTAGTTTTCAAATTAAAAACTATCAAGTTACGTACCAGGAAATTACTTAGTACATACTTTAAAGTAGAAATTACATCCTATTATAACATAGCAAAACATCTAGGCTGTTAAAACGCAAACTATACTCTTTTACATGATATCGATTTCAGTTTAGTAAGCAATTACTATTTAAAAGAAACTTTTTGTTATAATGTTTAATTTTCACCTTTTCTAGAACCAGTTTACATAGCTCTTTGTTACTCATTGCTTTATTATAAACTCAAAGATATTGTTAGACAAACGAGGTGTCTAATAATGATTGCTACATTTACGTACTTCCTTTAATATAGGAATATTATAAAAACGCATCATGGAAGACGGACATTTCCAATAATGAATTATAATTATAACACGTTCACTTCAAAAGCGCCTAGGCTTCATTTAAGACAAGGAGGATGAAAAAAATTGCCAAAGGTACTAGCGTGACGATTTGTCGAACACGCAATGTTACAGTGAAATTATTAGTGGTAATTATGATAAAATGCCTATTTACGCATAAGTACGTTGGTAATGCAATGCACGATGAGAATAAAGAACTAGTTGCAAGGGTTAGTTGAAACGGAATTGAAACCTTTTCGTTATTGTGATGTATTTAAGTTTTATAATAAAAAGCCGACAGGTTCTCTCTGTACGGTTCGCATTTAATAACACCTATCTCCCTACTTTCTTAATCTTAAGTAATTTGCCAAGAAAAAATTTGCCTAAACCTACATGCAAATCATGGAATAGAGCATGACTTCTCATACGATGTTACGTAATTAATGTTAGGTACTTTGTACAATAAAAATTGTACTGTCATGCTTTTGTTTATCGGAAATTTTATGGTTTAAAAATTATATGGTTTAAAAAACAGTACTCTAAACTACTTAATAGAATTGTATTTATGGTAAAATGTTTTTCTAAAACGTATTTATGTTTCATGTTAAAGCATTTGCTTTAACAAGGAATACAAAATACTGTTTAAATTAACCAGTACAATAAAAAAACATCATCTGCATACCTATTTAATAACGTTATCTAGCTCGTTTTTAATCAGTAGACTTATATTGCGGAGCTCTATTACGTTTAAATATTGGAAAAAAACGAGGATGTTTTCCTAATAACACCTGCTCTCTGCAAGGGAACAAATTGCAAACATTAATTAGGTAGTAATAATGAAGGGTACTGTTCACGTTTTATAGGAATTTGACCCTTATCTATTTTATATAGAGGAAGTTGGAATTTTAATACGGGGAAAGAAAAATACACATGATATCCTGATAGCACGTTTACATGTAAGTAACGTATCGACTGTCTTACGTTCCACTACTGAACACGAGACAAAAGAAGAGGAAGTAAGTGTCATGTGCTTATCAAGGTGGACATAAATGTCTTTGGAGAGCTTCCAATAACCTTCTCCAATCATCGTGATGATTATAAACTTATTAAAGACAAATAAAGTACAAAATATGTATATGTATGCCAGTGTAACGGATCCGCGCATTCACCTTAAAGGAAAGCCGCGCTCAATAGTGAAATATAATACCTATACAGGGTGTAACAAAAATGGCCGACTGAAATTCGCAAAAAAATGTTTAATTAGCCATTCAGAATTTGCGAGGATATAATTGTAATACGTTCGAGTTACCTTAACAGCAGTGTCACATCTGTTTGAACGACAGGATTTTTTCACACTTTTAAAATCTGCTTGAGGTATGAATTAATCAATAGAACAAAATATATTTATAATGTCAGACGTAACCGCATTGTAAACTTTGTTATAAGTCTACTATAAGTAGGTAAGTACAATAGGCCTATCGTTCATGTGCGGTAACGTCCAATTTACTCCCGGAAGCGTCTAGTTAGGGGTGCGTGACGTCACGGGGCTGGCACCGAGAGGGTTGATTCGAAGTATCGGCTGCATTAATAGCCTGAAGCGATTGTATACATTCGATACAACGCTTGGATTTATTTGAAGAAAATATATAATGACTAAATTTATAGAATTACACCCAATATTAATTTTATAATAGTGTTTTGCAGTAGTCAATATAAATATCCTATATTAGAATGAAAATAATAAATAAAGGAACATTAAGTTTCATAATATCCTTGTATAAAATATAATTAATACAAAACATTTAATTACTAATTCATTGATGACTAAATGAATGAATAACTACCACATTAATCCAAACCTTTCAGACATAGGTATTGGTTTAAATATAATATTTATTATTCATAAAACGTTCATTGACTTAAAAGGTAAGGGCACTATTTAATGTGGAATGTCATAGTTATGTTTTGTGGCATATCGTAACGTCATTGTTTTCTACTAAAGCACTAATGCAATATGATGTAGGTATACTAATTTTGTACTTATGTAGTTTTTATTTTAATTCAGTGTGTGCGTTTGCTTTTTAAATTTCGAATAGAAAATTAATTTTGCTGAATTATGTAAACATTTTATAAGGGTTAATTTTTTCTCGCAAATGAAATACCTTTGAGATATCTCTGCTACATACCAACTAGCCACCTTGGATTCAATTGACAAGCGTGTCAAGAGGCTTATAGGTGACTCGGAATTAGTAGAGGCGAAGATGCAGAGCCTTGAACACCACCGTAAAGTTGCCTGCTTATCGATATTCTACAGGATATATCACGGCGAGTGTGCGATAGGGTTACTCGATTTAATTCCGCCTTCCCCTTTTTATCACCGGGGGACTAGACGTAGGCTTGGATTCCACCCCGATGTTGTGGATATTCCAAAGATTCGGAAGAAGCGTTAAGCTTCCACATTTATACGAATGGCTATGGAGTGGAATTCCCTTCCTGCAGACTTGATCCCTGAACTTTATAGCTTGGGTCTTTTTAAGGCGAGAGCCAACAGACATTATTTAGGTTTGCGTGCTCCATCGTCGACCTCATCGTCAGTTTCCATCAGGTGAGATGGAGGTCAAATGCGCACTTACATTACTATATATATAAAAAAAAACCACATGGTAACGTTTGTAAATATCCAAAAAGTTTTGTTTAGAAAACGGCATTGTGACATTGCATATAAGTCCGATTTTTCAACAAAGTTGGCGATAGTGTAATAATTGCATTAAAATAATGTAGTAGCAGTACAGCTCCTTGTGAAAGAGTTCGTCCAGGGCAGTACTGCCGCTTTACCTATTACGCAGTAATGTGAGCATTATTGCATTCCGGTTTATAAGGGTAAGGGTGCTGGTGAAATTACAGGTGCATGGGACTTGTCAACTTATGTCTCAGCATGACGGGCGCAGTGGCAGTGTCCCTTAGATCTTTGCGAATACAGTTCGGAGTGGCACTGCAATGTTATGGACAGGCGCGTCGTCTACCACCAAAAAAAAGTGAAATTAAATACTTTTGTGATTTAATTCATTTTAGGTAGGTAAAATAGTTAATAACAAATAACAAGTACACGAGTGTTACATAGAACATACTAATTAGCAAAGCGGCGTAAAGACGTTATAATTGCGGTAACATTGTAAGTTTTATAGGCGAGCTGTGACTACGCCGTTAACGTGCTGTAATGTGCAGTAAATTCATGCAACGTTGTGATATCACCTTTTATTGCCGCTTGGGATAATTAATGTTACTCTATGGCTTTCCTTATTCCTTATTGCTTGAGGAAATGTAGTACTTATTAAGTCTATGGCATTTATATACTACAAACCATTCTGGTCTGCAACCGAGAAATATTTGCATGACCTACATTTATTTCTCTAGTGAGTTTGGGTGTAACTTGTGGTTGTCTATTTGTGTGGCCATGGCACCCGTGATACAGGGTTTCCCTAGTGCGGGCTATGAGTTTATATATTCCCTAGTGAGTTACGATTATTATTATTAATTTGCACAATTGATGCCTCTTGTTTGTGCAATTATGATTAATTGCACAAACAAGAGGCATAGCACAATTAAAAAACAATGTTCCTTCTTAACATCGGCTAATAATTTTATTAGCAGTAGAACACCTTGTGAAAGTATTCGTCCAGGGAAGTTCTGCATACCTATTTCTTACTACCTTACCTATTTCTGCCGCAATGCAGTAATATCAACATTACTGTGTTCCGGTTTTGAAGTGTAAGGGTGCTAGTGAAATTACAGGCACATAAGACTTGTCAACTTAAGTCTCAGGGTGACGGGCGCAGTGGCAGTGCCCCTCGAATCTTTGCAATCTAAAGCTCTGAGTGGCACTGCAACTGTTATGGACAGACGTATAGCTTATCATCAGGCGCATGACTTCGTCGCCCCGTCACATTATATTATAAAAATAAAAATAGTATTTTATTTGTCTTTATAAATGTTACCAGTATTCAATTTAATAAGTTCAGTTTTTTTTGTTTCCCTAACATAAGTAAACTCTTTAAATAAGTACAACTCACTTGTTTGTGGTTAATTAACTGTGGTTTAATTGTTAAGTTATACTAATTCTCCCCAATTGTTCCAACCTTTATAATTAACTATACAAATTAATTAATAAAAAACTTACCATCATGATTCACCTTCGCGATGCCGTCGGTAGTTGGTTCTCGTTCGTCCTCTCCACCCATTAAGTTCCTGATGCTAAACGAGCTGGTCTTTTTCACCGGGGCCACCTCCCCGGTTGTTCCCGTAGCGTCACACGCTCCCTCCGCTCCGTTCACTAAATCCCTGCACTCCCCATTCATGGGAATAACTTGTTCTGGTACTGTCCCTTCCAATTCCACGCGACGTGTCGTCAAGTCCATCTTTATTATTCGCAACACTTTCCAAATTCAAACTACGACAGCTTTTGTTTTCGAATGACATTGTAGTCACGCCCCAAAATTGTTGTTATTGAAACTCATTTCAGAACTTAATGACTGGCCTTTAATAAAATGTAAGTAGCCGTTTGCTATTGTAAGAATTTACGCGCATTCGCATTTCAATTACGATCTTACTTTAATTTGTTATGGTTTATTGTCGTTTGTTCCGTTGCTCTAAAGTTTTCTGATAAGCACTAAATTATTGTCCCGCACTAAATCGTTGCACTTCAGTCCGACACCATTCATCACTTGTGCTTAATTAGTTGCTAAGCGGGTTGTAGATGTGCTCAAATCGCGCTGTGCGAAAAGCCGGCGGCTGGCGAATATTTGCAACGGTCGGGCGACGCGCGGCGACTCCGCGTTAGTGAAGGCGACTGGTCCTCTTCCCTCCTCGGCGGTCGCATTCGCGCGGCCCTCCCATACGCCTCTGAGGCGGGGCGTTGCCTCCATCGCCCTCCCCGCCCCTACCACGTGACTCTAATCGACATTGCGTCTTTTTAATCGACAATTACTTCAATTGCGCGACTTTTTAACACGATCGATTCGTCCTAATGAGTTGTAATTGCGTTTATTGATACGAGTATGCGAGTAACTATCCAAATGGTTTAGGTTTTTCCTTTAACGACGAAGGAGGATTTGATTATTACAGTTTTACTTTTTGTCGTTGCAAAAACGTACCGTACTCTAATTTAAAAATACTGGAGCCATGAATTTTGCCTTGCAGTTGTTGACAAGCCAGAATTTCAATGAGCGATTAGTTCGTGGGTATTCCAGTGGACATAAATTCTAGTTAAGGCTCAATCCTTGCCTGTAAGCTCAAGGCTATTTGAAGATTTATTGTCGAGGCGCTTCCTCTCACTGTTATTGTATCAACGGACTTTTCGTTACACGATTGTGTAGGTAGAGATTGTGGATAAGCGAAATCATTAGCTGGCGATCGGCTTGTCACGACCGTTGAAGTAGGATTGCTAAATAAATTAATAGCTTTCAAATTGGTTGATAAAATTTAGATCAAAGTAATTACGATTTTAATCTCGAAATACCGATATTCATTGCATGAAGCTCATGCTTCTAGACTGTTTAGATAAGATCTCAAGGAAATTGAACATAAACTTATCATATATGAAAGACTTTGACATAAAACTGAATTCTCATAATTGAAACCAGCAATCTGTTTCCCCTTTCAAATACTACATTATCTACTATATCGCCATAAGTGTCAACATCATTTACAGCTACATTAATATCTTACTTTCCGCTTCCTATTTACACTACACGAATGAATACTTCGCAGCAAACAAATATTGGTTGAGCAACATCAACCTTTTCATATAATCGCGTTCGTTTGTGCGGTGCGCAGGCGCCGGCCTGCACAAAGATATCGAACCAGCGGGGCGTCCGACTCAATTATACCACAGATTATGTTTGGCCCAAACTGAATCTATTTGTATGGTAATGCACTCATTACCACCCGACAAAAAGGGTGGAGGGTAGAACAACATTTTAGAATTTATGGCTTGCTGTCCAAAAAGTTTGTCTGAGAAAGAGTTAATGAAATAGTTGAATTTAGAATCGTAGTCGATTTTTGTCTTGACGATAGAACAAAAAGCTGCCGCCCGCATAGTTAGGTAGGGGTCCCATTGAACATGGATTTGAATCAAGTCAAATGTCAATTCGAATGTCCAATTTGAAAAACGAACAAACAAAATTATATTTGAATGAAAAATGTAATGATAGGAACTTTTCAAATACTATTCCACCCAGTCAACAAAAATAGAATAGAATGTTCACAATTTTGTAAAAAAAAAAATTAAAAAATCGTTAATGGCAACATGGAAAAAGTGTACCCACTTCCGCCAACATTAGAAATCAACGTAATGACATCGATGAGTGTCGGACCACATGATTACCATTACCACCCAATCATGGCCCAATCAAAATAACTACACGAGTGGGCGGGCAATGTATTAGAAATGTACCGAGTCATCATTTACATCTGTAAATAGATGCGGCACTGTGACCACGCTTTAAGTGAATATAATAGAACCTGTTCCTCAATATAACTGTTATTTTCGTTATAATTAGAAATTGATTACATAAATATTGTTGATTGAATTAACAATCTTGTACTAAGGTTCTAAATTTCGTTTTGTTTAAATTGTACAAGGATCGATGACAAAGACAAATCAGAGTTGATTTAATGACACTATATATAAAAGGTGTGTTCTGATAACACCAAGGAATCGACAGGAGTTGCGAGCTTATTTAAATCTTTCGCTCAACCGAGGGCAGTAATGCGGAATTAATGACCAACCTTCACAACTAGTTGGAGAGGCATTACAAGTAGAGTGACATTACAAAACCTTGTATCTGGGTTTCACATGGCCTTACTCATGTACGTAGTTATTGTTATATTTTTTCCATCCTCTTCTAATTTCTTCTTTCTAGATATTTTTTAACATATTCTTAGCGCAGTAGAACTCCTTGTGAAAGAGTTCGTCCAGGGAAGTACTGCCATCTTACATATTTCTGCCGCCAAGCAGTAAGTAATGTTCGCATTGAACTTGTCAACTTATTTCTCAGGGTGACGTGCACCCCTCAGATCTTTGTGATTTAAAGCTCTGAGTGGCAGTGCAACTGTTATGGACAGGCATGTAGCTCAACGTCAGGCGCACGACTCGTTCGTCCTGTCACTTGATATTATAAAAAAGTCTCCTACAAGCCCGTCACTTTCTTTATATCGTTTTTCCAAAGTGTCTACGGTCTCCCTTTGGGGCGTTTATCTCCCCAAGGTCGCCATTCGAGGCCCCCTTTACACTAGGAGCCATGCTTTCGAGCTACGTCACTCACCCACCGCCACTTAAAGTTCGTTACGCGTTTGGACTGCGACTCTGCTTTCCTGTCTTAGCCATACATTTGTTTTACGGTCTTTTTAATTCCCACCAGATTCCTTTCTAAATCCACTTGTTGTATACTAAAAATCTTCTTTTTAGAGTGTCATAGTCTTAATGAAGTTGACTCGATAATCATTAGAGCGTTTTCTAACCATCCATTTGGCTATAATTATGACCATTTCTCGCCAAACTTAGACGAATTAAGCGATTTGTATTGATCTTAATGATAATGAATTGTCCTGTTTTGAGTTCGACCATTCATGGTCACCACAAACGCGGTCAAAAGCGCCGAAGTTTCGATCAACTACTGCCGTTGTATTTGCTCAGCCAGTAGAACCTATTGAATCAATAAATAGATTAGTAGCTCGTACTTTGAAAGCGATACGCCGATACACAGATTTTAGAGATGGATTGGACGAAGAATTATTGTTAGCTTCATATTTGGTTAGAATTAGAAGTCAGAATTGAAATATTTATAAAAGAAAATTATCTTTTGTGGCTATGTTCTTTTCATGTAAAAAAATTATTTCGCCATAGTGTCACGTAAGTGACCATGTAGTCAGGGATAAACTACTCGCACCTTTGATGCAATAAGACTACATCTGTAAAATGACAACTTTTCAGGAGAGAGTTTTAAAGATTCTTCGAAAGAAATTACTCTGAAATTGAACTTCGACACACGCTATTCCGACAATATGTTATATCGACATGATTTCACTCAGACACTACGCTACTTCGACAAGACAGACGAGATGTTTCTTAAAAAAATCTTTGTATTCGGATAAGAAAAATCATCATTACAAACCCACGAAGGAAATGATTTCTTATATCGATCAATATAACAAAAAAAAAGGACAACATTATATAATCGGAAATTTATATATTAATTTATTATACATATGTAACATATTGCCGGAGTAGCGTGTGTCGAAGTTCAATTTTAGAGTCGAAAGAAATTAGTCGACAACTTTTATGCTTAAATAGGAGATTTAGAAAATGTCACATATGCATAATTTATTTAATGTAGTTCGTATTATTTTTATGACTTTAATAGATAGATAGACCGGAACTTTTTCCATGGCGTCTTATTTACATAGGATCGACTAAAAGTAATACCCAAATTAATAACACAAATTTTTATATCAAATGGAACAGCAAACAAAAAGGCGCTGGCTGAGCATAAGTGCCGCTGCTTCTCATGCCGCTGGTATTCTGCCAGAACCGTGTCAAAAGAGACGCCACTCGTCATCTCAGAGAGTCCTCTGGCGTTATCGTTTATTATGATAAAAGTACTTTTGACTTATAGGCACATGTGGCCTTTTTTTATGATACTAAGTGATTAGACGAACAAGTCGTGCGCCTGGTGGAATGCAAAACGCCTGTCCATAACAGTTGCAGTGCCACTCAGAACTTCAAATCGCAAAGATTGGAGAGGGGCACTCCTGGGGACATAAGACATGACACGTCACATCTGCCTGTAATTTCACCAGCACCCTTATTATCTTTCAAAATCGGAACGCAGTAATGCTCACATGACTGCTTGGCGGCAGGAATAGGTAAGGTGGCAGTACTTCCCTGGACGAACTCTTTCACAAGGAGCTCTATCTACTGCTACTAAATTATACAAAGGGTTCGTGTTCTTGCTTTTTATTCGCACTCTCTCTTGAAAAGGGTATTGTAGTTATTTGTAGTCTTATGAGCAGTTATACACGACGACTTTTAGCAGCGATGCAAATGCGATGCAAACACGATGCAAACGCGATTAACGTTTTAAATTAATTAACTAATTTATTTATTTAATAATGTATTTATTAGTTACACTTTTAAATTTGCAATTAACAAAACAAAACAATGTGTGCATAAACATGATGCAGTCGCCGTGTGTAACCACTCTATTACTTAATTTATCACAGTCATTATAGTCTCCTTTATAAATAATAATTCTGTTGTATAAGTCTGTGTTATATAGGTACACACCGGACTCAGAACGTGGACTCTGCTATTATATGCAAGTATGTTTTATATTTTTATGGGTCGTATACGTATACGTGATGATATAATTATTATGAAAGTCTGGGTAAGTACAACCGTGCACAGATACATATATCTTTAATTAGTGAAAATCCTCTCAACCTGCTTATAAAGGTACTATTACAAAAGACGCGACACGCGACAGGTCACAGTGTCGCTGTCACGTGTATTCCGAGCTCAGCGACATAAATCTTATAGTAGCTTGCATAATTTTATGGCGTAATTATTTACGTATATTTTTTTCTTTAGTAAAACTACATCTGGAAAGACAATGGGGCATTATGTAATATGATTCTTTTCATTTATTTCCGTATTATTGTTTGGCGTTTACAGAAGTATAGGATACAATCTAGTTATAGCACAATGCCCAGATATCATGCTGCATAAAATCGCATTGTTTTCAACCAAATTCATCGATTTTCTAGACACCAGTATGACCGTCTG